AAAGCAAGAAGAATGAAAAATAAATGGAATCTAGTCTGTTGGGTTGCAATCAGTTAAGGATAAATTCTTGCGGATGACTGTTTGACGCGAGACAAATTAGAACGACGAATTAGTTCTAAGTGATTGGGATAAAGGATTGATAGCGAGAGATTTTTAATTGGATCATTGGACAGATGATGTCTCTAGAAATAGATTTTTAGATCACTGCAGTTTTTCTGTCTTTAGAAAATGGAGTAATAGGATGAGATGATTGCCCTTGTTGAGAGCTTTTTCATGACTAAATAAGTCAGTTTGTAATCTCTACTAACCTAAAATTAAAGGAAATTGTTTCAATCTCAAATTCTTATAAAAGTACGTGTATAAATAACTTTTCTTCTATATTAAGAATTTCAATTTCTTACTGATATATAAGTAATGGAAGAAAAGAAAATTTCAGTTTTCGATTTAAAATCGTCTTATTAAAATTTTCCAATTTTCTGTAATCTTAACCTCAAATTCATATAAACAATTTCTCTTCTATATTAAGAAATTTTCAATTTTCTTTTATGTAAGTATCTTGAAAAATTTTTAGATTAGGTTTTCGATCTAGTTGATGCTCCAACAATCCTCTTTTTCACAAAATTGAATTTAATAATGATTTCCCTTTCTCAACTGAATGATATCGAATATAAATATGTCTTAAATTTATACTATAACTATAATCATATATAATTAGTGATAAGGCGTCAATTTTAATTTTTTTTTTTTCATACAGTATATTTCACTAACGTGTTTGTGAAATAATATAGAAATAACTTCCATCATGGATGATTGATTATTATATACACAAACATTATAACTCGAGATGATCAAAACATGGAATGAAATGTTTTCTAGGAACTCAAATTGTTTACAAATGTGTATAATATTGTGGTAACAAAATTATCTTGAAGAATTTTATTAATATATCATATTATCGATATTATAAAAAAAATGACATAATATTACTATCCCTCTTACAAAATTTTCGTAGACATTAACAGCTCAATTTATCCGCAACTCTTGTACGACGTTTGCCAACATAATTACAAGGTTACGTTGACAAAAACCTGATGACAATTCGCGGTTTCTTTGGATCGTGAAAAAAAAAAAAAAAAAAAAAA